TACGAATACATAATGCACGATCAGAATGTGGGTGCGTGTTTGGGAAGTAAATTACGGCTGGATGTGATGAACGGTGAGGTGGCGCGATTTTATCAACTCTCTAAGAACACAATCAGTCCAGTTCCGTGCATTGTTCCACGACGGGTAATAGCCATATTTTGTTTGTTCATTCATCTGAGTGACAACCAACATTCGTACCGTTAACATCGCGGCTTGTAAGCGAAATGACCGACGGCTGATTCTGTTAATATGCACACAAATGATTGTTGTTTTGATGAACTCTGTTTAAATTCACGAAAACCGTTCATCTGATCTTATTTATAAACATTATTAGGCAATCATAGGGATAGGGTGATTTACGCTGGTTTGTAGTTTTGTCGTGTTGAGTGTAATTAACGATGTAATTTGCCACACTGAATGTGGTTGAAATGTTGCCATTTGCAGAGCTATCGAGATTTTCACGCCGATCTCTTCCCAGAGACAGTGGGGCCATTCTCTGGTTGCAGTGCAAATGAGTGGTTGGATGGTTCAAATTTGCAGGTTTCTCAATATTTCATGCGATTCATTGATCACATTCATTTCCACAAACACATTATTCAGTTTGTATATCTTCTTGACTGTTCATTCACTTAACTANTTCATTTCCACAAACACATTATTCAGTTTGCACATCTTCTTGACTGTTTATTCACTTAGTGATGTGATAAGTAAACGGTTGGAGTGACGAGAAGACAAATTTTCGGAATTTAAGTGATTTATTTGAATCGATGGTTTTGTAGTATTGCTCTCATGAAAAAATACAAAAGTCATAAATGTGTTCCAGTTACGTATGTAACAGTTGAAGGTAAAAGATAAAAACTGAAGATAAATTCACAGATAGAAATTAATTATTCAGAAAGTGAAGGTTATCACTGAGAATTTGTGATTGTTTAGCCAATGCGAGTAAGTCTTGATCCCGCACGCAAAGGTGAACTGATCGCAACGATAAATATCGATTCCAAGTCCGACGCGATGAAGTCAGATTCAAGAATGGATCAGCAAAGTAAAAAAGAGTCGTTGCAACCAAAAACCGCTGGTGATGAAATCATTATCAATGGCAATCGATCAGCAGAAAGTACTCAGCATTCAAATATCAGTGAGCGCAGTTCAAATGTCAACATTAACGTTACCAGCAGTAATGATATAACAGAACAAGTAATGCCCAAACCACCAAAACGTGCTCAGGTATGTTATTTAGTTTATGTATTCAAAGTACATCGTTCATTTCATAAAGATGAACTCAAGTATGGATTGTATTTGGTGTTGAATTAGATGCATTTGTCACAGTCGAGTAAGTGAGTCAACGAAAATGAACAGCACCAAGGGGGATTTAGATTGTTGCATTCAATTGACATGATTTTATAGTGAGATCGTATACAGAAGTATTTTTCAGTTTCTCATATTTAATG